AGTGGAAGGCATTTATAGGATTTCAGGGACCAAGAGTAAAGTCCAGCTGTTGAGGACAGCCTACAACAAGGGAGAACGAATTTCTCTAGAAGAGTTTGGCCCTCATGTTGTGGCATCCCTCTTGAAACTCTTCCTCCGTGAACTCCCAGAGTCAATCCTGACAGTAGATCTTTGTGCGTTGTTTGAAGAAGGTGCTGCACTGAAAGATTCACAGCGCCGAGTGTCTGTCACAAAGGGTTTGCTGGAGAAACTTCCTACTGCCAACCGAGTTACCCTTTCATGGCTGTTTGTTCACATGCAGCATGTAATGGACCGGGAAGAAGAAAATAAGATGAATCTCCAGAATCTGGCATTGGTGCTATCTCCCACATTGCAGATATCACACCGTTTGCTCAATGTCTTCTTCACCCATGGGTCTGACTTCTTTGCAGGGACTGTGATTCATAGGTATGTAAGACCATTGAGTCCAAGGTTGGAATCAATCAGGAATGTTCCTGAGACTGCTGATGCTCTTAAGAGGGAGATTCAGAAGCAAGAAAGTGTCTTAGCTCAAATCCATAGTGAATTGAATTCTGGAAGGGTAGACAAACGGAAAGAAGAGCAGTTGTGGGAAGTCCAGCGAATTGTCACACAGCTGAAGAGAAGACTTAGAAAGGTTAATCAGGAAAATCATGAAGAGGAACCCCAGTCTACCTTTACCCCTCCTAATGAATTCAGTTTGAACCTCACTCTTCAAAAAAATACAGTATCATCCATCAAACCAAAGAAAGAGGAAGCAGTGTTGGAACCTAAGCAAATAAAGAAAGAAGAACCAACTTCAGAACCTATACAGCCAAAGAAAGAAGAAGCAACTCTGGAACCTATACAGCCAAAGAAAGAAGAACCAACTTTGGAACCTATACAGCCAAAGAAAGAAGAAGCAAATTTTGAACATATGCAGTCAAAGAAAGAAGCTGAAGGAGCCCTTCAAAAAGATGAGGATTCATGCTCCCAGACACCTTCTGGGTCCTCTGACCAAAATGTTGCTCCTCTATCAACCAAAATACCCCCAGAGGAGGTGAAAGATCAGCAGTCAGCACAAATCCCAGCCATGGTGCCCGTTGAGTCTGGAGACAGGGAAGGATTAGAGAAGACAGTCATTTTGGATAGTTCAAATCTGGAAGTGCCTTCAGAACATGATAGTGTTGGGAATGATGAAGCATTTACAAATGAAAATGTCCCTGTTGAGGGAAATCTACTTGAAGAATCGAAGCCCTTGGCTTCCGGAGCACTAAGGCCCATTGAGGGAATGGTGCAATTGCTCCTAGAAATTCATGAATTGGAGAAGTTTGAACTTGCATTGATTGATGCAATTCAGAGAGAAGAGAAAGAAGTTAAGGATGTGTTGGGAAAAGACAGGTCTTTATTTGAGTGGCCTCCTCCTGTTTTGAGTGATGTACCAGAAGCAGGTAGTCCATCTATGGCACAGGTTCAAAAGCTCTATGAAGAAGTTTTGCAACTAGAACAAGAAAGATATGAACTTGTGCAGAAAATTTCTACTGAGAAAAAACTTATTGCTGAGCTCACGGCTAAAAAACAGCTGCAAGGACTTATGAGTCAATGTTAGGATAGTTATTTTACAGAAGGGCAGTTCTAAGATTTTGTCTTATGATTCAACAAAGTCAAGAGGGTCTGGCACGAAGATGGGTCCACATTTACCAGTATACACATATCCATTTGGCCTGTTCTGCTGTTGTTATGGAGTAAATGAGGATGAGGCTTAATTCTGCCATATTTATTATGCAGAGAAAGGATTGTTGAAGGAATTTCATCCATGTCATCATTTTCAGTGGCAGGTTTATACTAAAGTAGACATTAGGCACAGCACTATCATTGAATGGAGCTTCCTGAGTGAAGGATATTCATGAGGTCATTGCATTTTTTTCCGTCTATGCCACACTTTTGTCACTAAAAGTAGAGGAGACACCGAACAAAGTTGTTGCTCCCCCTTGCCTGTCGCACAAAGTTGATTCTGTGAAGCATTTCCTTGATATTCATAAATACTCCCTTCATGTTCACTCTTAGTTTAGAAAATTTGTGGGCATTTGGGTACCATTTTTTAGAGACATTGGTATGATGTTGAACTATTTTTTTTTCTGCAATTTGTCTCTTTTTCAAGTTGGCTGATGTCTCACACAGTATTGACCAGTATGCATTTTGTTGTTTTTTTTTGTTGAAATTGTCTTCTTGGTTATCCTTGCTTGAGTCACCCATTAAATTTGCAATGGTATTGATATTTTCAGAAGGACTTAGGACTGTGATGCACATGAAGTATTGTTGTTTGTGCCAGTTGAACAATAAATTCTGAACAAGGCACTAGCCATTAGTATTTCATACATGGTTATGGAGTTATTGTTTCCAAATGCCTAATTAAAATGTTAAGTTTATTTTGTTTTCAATATCTATGCTAATCAGATTGGTATTCAGCAAAATGTATATTTGATTTTAAACCTTTTTTGAGTAAGGGATATCAAGAAATGGGAGAAAAGAAAATTGAGAATGCATCTCCTTGATTCCTGAAGTTTATACTCAGAAAAAAAATCAAGTAGATACATGGTCTTTCAGTAAGCACATATAGTATAAAATTCTCAGATTTACTGTCTTAGCTATTGACATTGAGGCTTCTTTGCCAGAAAGGATATGTTTATTCCTTGCAAGGCATATATTGCCTTGTTGGCTACTTGTTCCAAAGGACCAAAAAAACTGAATCTGTTGCAATACATATAGGGTGGTCACAAAAAAAGACCACCAAATTTAGAATGCTGTGTCTCAGGCAACTTGTGTTTTTCTTTCAAAACAAGAAAAACTGTGATGGGGATGAATGTGATGGGACTGTTTCATCACCCTTTAAATTTGGTTGAACGATGTTACTGTCAAAAGCCACTCAACCCAAGGCATTTTACCCTAAACCACAGCATTTTGAAGTGGGGGGGGGTCCTTTTTTTGGGCCACTCTGCATTTGCTTGCCTAACAAGATGGCTGATTGCTACAGATTTTAGTGGTTGTGTAGACGATTCTGAGACTTATTCTAATCACTTGTGTAAAAAAAAATTGTTGAGGAAATAGTGAAGTATTACACTGTTATAAAGAAAGCTCTGTGTGATGGGGAGTTCCCAAAACCAGGAGGTGGGTAAAGAGATATTTAAGACAAGCACATATGCTAATTGATGCAAAAGGTTTCCTGGGTTTTAGAATGAAAGCCATCAAAGCAAAAATTTCTCAGATAGTTGGCCCCAAAAAGCTCATTGGATTTAAAAAATATATATATTTTTTTATTTTAGTTGAATGGAAGTTAGTGCATGAATAAATGCATTTATAACTCAAGGAACTTGCAGTGGCAACTATCAGGACTTTTTACCCAGATGGCTTAAATGTTAAAACCTGAAAAGACTTCGTCCCTTACTTCTATTATTGAACATCCTTGTCTGAAATGCTTGCCTTCATGTTTCTTCTGAGTTCTTTGCCTTGGAAAAAAAAAAGAACCTAATTTTTATTTCATTGTTATTCCATCTCTACTTCCCTTGTGCCCCAGTGTGTAGGTTCTTTTATCCTTCCATTGTTGCTCTTTCATTTTATGTTTCTTATGTGTTTTTCCCTGCTCTCATTTCTTTGAACCATCAAGTGCACAGTGTTTGTCTTTTAAACCTATGCACTTATTGTTCAGGTGCTGCCTGAAGAAAAATATAGTTTTCATGAAACTTCCTCTGCTGAGTTGCATAGGTCTAGTTTACATTCACGTTATGTAGCACCCATAGATGTCATGTTCACCTAGGGTAGTGAATGACCGACCCCCATGTGGAATTAATCTTGAATTCATTTCAATTTCATTGAATTCTAGTCCACCATGGTGTCAAATTTGTATATAATTTTCCTGGATTTAATTAAGAAGGTTCACACTTTCTATAACATGAATTAAAATGTGGAAACAGGCCAGCAGCCTGTCAATGTGAACTACATGGTGATGGCATTATACATCACTGTACAATCTAATTATCTCTCCATTATTGATGTTGATGCAACATGACCTTGCAGACTGAAATGGAGTTGGAATTTTGAGTCATAAAGGAGATGACCTGGTCTGTATGGCTGGCCCCCCAACTTTAGATTGTCTGGTTTTCATGATCATAATTTATTAGTCCCATGGGTAGGAGACAAAGCAGTGAGATACATTGAAGCATGATGCCAATTTCCAGCCCAGTGTATCCCATTTTTTTCAATGGCACATTTAATAATGAAACAAACTTCTAAGTTTCATCTGCTTGACCACAGATGAAAGTCACCTAGGGAAAGAGGCACCTGTAGAAGGTTTTTGTCTGGCACTTCAACAGCTGGCAGTGATACTTAATACAATAAATCTAAACTTCACAACCTTCTGTGTTCTTTTGGCTAAGTCTTCAGATGAGAAACGAGTTACACCCATGATCTGCAAGCATTTGGAATATATTCTAAATCTGAAATTGCATGAAACATTGTAAAAGCTCAGCATTCTCTAGTAGTGGGTCACAGGTCAAGAAGAAGATGGCTGGAAGACTGTTTCACTCATGCTTCATATGTATATTGATTCAGGTTTTTGTATATTAGAATATCCATCCTTTCTTTTCTTTCTGGAATCATCTAATATTGTTTTGCAATATCTGATGGCAAAAATAATTTACCTTCCTATATGACTTAGTTTCTTCTCATACAAACACACTAATGCCAATCACCCCTTTGTTGCATTTGACCTCTATGGGAGCATCTTAATTGATGCCTGGATCTAAATGTTATGAAAGTAATGTTTGTAACATTTATGTCACACTAAGATCTGGTATTGTTGCATTCAAGTCTCCATTCAAAGCCTATCTTAATCCAAATTTGGTAGGCTTCTATTTGCACAGGGAAATTCTATCTTTTGTGATGTCTGTGCATCTTTCTGCTATGTCTCCATTTCTGAATTCCATGAATCAAACTGGTTTTTGTTTATTTTTTCTTGCAGACATTTAGGAAAATGTGGCTGAGAGTTCTCATCGTGCTCAGCTGCATTTTTTCACGCAGTATTTGTTCTGCTCGTTTACCCGAATCTGACCCTGGTGAGTTTTGCCTTGATTATTCAATGAAAATATGTAAACTCTGATGTTGTTCAGGTCTAATATATTTGTTTGTTCTAGGTTCTTTCAAAGACAGCTCACAAAATGATACCCCTGATGTTGTGGACTTGGAGAACAGCATCTCTGATGAAACAAGTGCAAAGAAAAATTTACAGGATCCATCCTTGCTAAGCATTTTGCACCAAAGTGAAAACCCTCTTGAAGCATTGCTCGGGGCTGACTATGCCAATCTTGATACTGATGGCATCAGGAAGAAACTGCCAATGGAACTGCTAAGCAATGAGAACTTTGAAGATTTGGATATAAGCATATTCAAAGGGATGGCTAACCCAGTTGGCATCATCAATGCATTGACACAAGTGAACCCTGAGATGCCAATAGTCCAGAATGTCATCAAGGAGTGTGTAAATCGGCTTGGGAGAGACAGGATCAAACTCATGGTGGTAGGTACTATTTACTCCTACATATTTATATAACAATGGATCAGTAAATGATATTTTTTCCTTTTGAAAGTTTTCCAGGAATTGATTGATTGATGTGGCTCCTCCCAAATGCATTGTATAGTTTTTTCTTCTTGAGAAGATTTTGTTGGAATTGCTACAAATATTCTTGATGTTAATATTATGCATTTCTAGGACAGTTCCTCCACTGACCTATTTTCTTATCCCACAAACTTTTCCCTGAGTTTATTCATGTGTGACTTTTGCACCTTTGTCAAAGGATTAATCCCTACCTGCAGTGTTCATCCTACCTGGCCCTACTTCCACCCTCTGTATTATCTGTTGCCTTGGTCCATCTACTAATCCATCTTGGCATTCTTTAAATCACTTGTAGTGCAGAGATATCCTGTGTTATTGGACATTCACACAACAATCAGGAACCATATTTCATTTAAGTACTTTTTAAGTTTTCTATTAAAACATTCTCACAAGAGTAACTTTAATGCAAGTATACTTACATGTGTCAATTCACCCTTAACTACTTGTAAGCACCTCTTCTGCTTGGAAACATGGATATTCCTCTCCTACTCCTGCTAGGAACGAGAAGGCTTTAAGATGAAGTGCCTCTGCAAACTCCAGAATTTCTGGTATTTTTTCACTCTTTAGTTGATTTGCCTTCCTTCTAAGATCCTTGTTATGTCTCCAAGAAATATCTTTTTCTCTATCTAATGCATTCTTTTTTCTTCTTTACCTTTTTCCTAGTCCTTGTCAACTCAAGGAGAAAAACTGCTCAGAGGTGCTATCACTTTACATACTTGTATTGATCACATCAAGTAACTTGGTGCCCATCTCCTGATGTTACCCTCTTCACCTTTAGTCCCGCTTGAAGGTGCATACTTAGGAACTACCACATACATGTTCTATCTCTTTCTTTTGCTCCCTCTTCATCCAGGATGAAATGGTGAATGTGGGAATGTGCCTTCTTGAAGAATTCAATGTCACTCAGATCAGGCATGAAATGGACATTGCCATCATTGAGTCTCGAGGTGGTCTCAATGACCTCTTCCAAATGTATTGCGGGTATGTTCTCTGCACCCCATTCAGAGATATAAAAAATATGAATATGAATCAATAATTCTTACTCATTTCCTTGTTAGGAAGCAAGTTCCAGGTGCATTTGACTGCTTGAGAAATGCTGTTGGCATCATCAAACCCTGCCTTATTGAACAGGAACTAGAAGTTTTGAAAACTTACATTAACATGTTGGAGGGAGCAGCTGACTTCTGGTGTGAAGAACAGGGCATAAAGTTTGCCTGTGAGTAAAATCTCCTTGGGATATTGTATTTTTTCTCTCATATTTTGTGAGCTTTCATTTTCTCTTTTCTTAGTATTCTTTTATGAGAAGGGAGATGAGTGCTTGATGATGGTTGAGGAAAAACTGCCTGTATGCTTTGAAGAGGAGAGGTCATACTTAGATGCCCATGGGATGAACCTCTCACGTGCTTTATTGTTTGAGAAGACAGCCTTGACTGAGAAGAACTGCGAGTGAGTCAAAATTACCTACTCTTTGGGAGTTCAGAATGGCTGAAATATGGAGACAACTAACCCAACACACTGGGTGTGCAGAAGTCCTTTGCATGTAGTTTAGGTGATTAAAGTTCCAGCTGTTATAAAATCCCCCTTATGTGACACGATCCAATGTAATAAGAAATCCAGACAGCCTCTTCAACCAAATTACACTAATGTCTAGTCTCAAAACATGAATGAACAATTTCCATTTTCTTTCTCTAATAGCACAGATCCCAAAACCATCAACTTATAAATATAGGTGAGGGCAAATTTTAAGCTTGAGGGAGTCAGAATTTGTATAACTTACCCTATGGCTAATGATGATTTAGGGATTCAGCTGTTATAGTGCTCCTAATCAAAATCAGAATTCCCATGTTGCTGGTTGCATATTTTTTTCCTAGCACAAGGGAAGAGAGAAGACACCAAGATCTGTCTTTCCATTTACATTTTGAAAAAAGCATGAGTAATTTTTTCATCTGAAAATTGTCCCATTTCACTCTCTTGAAAACATATGACCAGCATCTCTTCCCGATCTCTTCCCCTTCTTTCATCATTAACCTTTTGGCTACAGGTGGGGACATAGAAGGTTTCCACTCCTTTGATGTTTTGGAGAAAATGGGGAAATGACTTTTCTGTATAATTTCCACACTTCCTGAATCAGAGTAAATGAGAGTCATGTGATAATTTTTGCCCATAACAATAGTGGAGCATGAGATGTAGTTTGCCCATTATTAATTTTTGCCTCAAAAGGAATTTTACCTTACCTCAGGTCTATATTTTTTCATAATAAGTTATGAAACATGAAACTCTTGTACATCATTAGATTTGGGCTTCTGACCTAACATAACCCAATTTTTTCAAAGTTTTCATATTTGAGTTAGGATTGCATTTGTGAAATTAGCAAAGGACCCCCTTTTAATTTGTACAAATTTTATGAATTCAGCTTGAGGGATGAAAATGTAAGTTTTTGTTATGCTACCTCAGTGCATATATGGAGAGGCCAAGGTTAGAGTTTGCCTTGATTTTTCATATTTGGAAATTTGGAGAATTTATACTTTGCTCATGTACTAAAATGACAACACATAATGAAAACTACAAATAATCCAGTTATCAGGAACACTTCCTGTCCTGCCACACTAAGGAATGATGGTCCAATTTTCTTAAATGATTGCATAACTGTAGCCCCTAAGAATATGATTAGCCTCTTGAATTTTGTTCACTTTTGAATAAAGACATTCAAATGTATCAAAAGCATGTCAATATTCACCCTTTGAGGATCATAATGCTATATTGAAATCAATTTAGTTGTTATCACATATAAGAGAAGGGAAGGTTGCAATTGGAGCCTTGTACATAAGCAAGAAAAGCAGGATTGGGAGTCTTTTATGTTCCCTCCAGTGATTGGAAAGCATGAGTTAAGGTTGCCTGAAGAAAAGCTGTTGTCATGGGGCTAACCCATAGTTAGGTGCATGGGGTACATACGTAGCCCATGCACCTAAGCCAATGCATAAATCCGAATGGGTTTATGTATGGGGCTAGGTTGGGTAAACCCCAATGGGTTTATGCATTATAGTTTGAGCAGTAGGTGATTTTCTGTGGCCCCTTGCTTTCAGTATTCTCTTTTTAGACTTGATTGAAGAATTCCATGAGGTTAGCAAACTGCATGGTTGATAGTCTTACACTTGATGTCTGGATGTTGACCCACTGTCTGAGGTACAATCATACCACATGTGATTAATATTTAACTGCACATAAATATGAGTTAATTGCCATTCTGACTATTCTTTAAAAATCCCTAACTCAAACCCTAGCTCCACTTGTGTTCAGGTTCACCCTACAGGAAAAATCCCTTCTTTTAGCTTCATGTGACAATTGGTAAAGTTAACTACAATCATGTACCAAATGGTTCTATCTTAGTGCTGTGCATTATTGACAGGTTATAGCCATGTATTTTGGCTCTGATTTGGCTCATGGCCAGAATACCATTTGCATGAATGGACAATATAAAATGCAGGAGGTTCAAGACCCATATTACTTTCAGCTATTCCAATGTGTAGGTCAGATGTGATTTATTACCATGACAAAGGGTTTTTTCATTAAGAATGCATTCCTTCTGCGTAGGAGCTGGTTTGACATGCACAAATGTATCGTGAAGACCATGAAATCTGAATGTGCCACTCGTGTGCCTGGGGATCTCATTGATGGCCTTCTCAAGTCAATGGAGTTACGGATGCCTTGTGCAACCTTGAGTGGAGTCCAAAGAGTGAATTCATGGCTCAGCCTGTGCCTTTCTCTGCCAGTGATTCTTCTGCACTTTGCCAGGAATTTGGGATCTTAGCAAAGGAGAATCTTGATAAGTTCTGATGTTTCTCTTGTGATGTATTGTCATGCATTCCGGTGACTGTATGAAGAAAACTGCTGTGATGGACCAATGAGAGAGAGAGAGAGAGTGAGTGAGTGAGTGAGTGAGTGAGTGAGTGAGTGAGTGAGTGATTGTGAGTTATCCTACTTGTCAGTCTTGTGCAAGCACGACATGAAAGGTATCTTTATCAATGAATAAGCTCAGGGAAAGCTTCTAACCAATCAATTTAGTTAAAACCAGGCTAGCCATTTCCTTATCCCTTTTTGATCAACAACTCAACCTTGCCTTGGTATTTGATGAGGCAGGTTTGATGAAGTCAAGATGCACTCTTCAATATCCTCTTGTCAGTAATGAAAAGTGCGTCTTTCTACTTACTGGACCCTTTGAAAGTGTCTTGATCATAGAAATGTTTGCATGCTAAATAGTACATCAATGCAGCATTCAGAATTGGGATGAATTCCATGATTGAAACATCTGGAGAGTTCAAACCATATTTTAAGGTTGATCCTCGTGCTTTCATTTTGATCCCACCCACAGGGCTGAATCAAAACATACCTGTAATTGATCCCAGGATCAATTCTGCTCTTCTCAGGATCAAGTGGGCAAAAAATATTTCCAGAATGGGATTGATATTTAGGGCATTGTATTGATCCTTTAAAAATCAATTCAAGAACCAAAGAGATTGATTTATTTGATTTATTTCAATTCTGACTTCCATCACAATTTGGACAAGCCCTCTTACTGTCAGCACATTGGGATCAGAGTGCAAGTATTGGTGATTAGTAAGTGCAACTGACCCAAACACAAAAGAAATTAGCTGGAAAATCTGGTAAAATAATGTTTTGTGCTGCAGTAGTTTGAAGAACTTGCAGTTCTGTTGATGGCAAACTTTTGATGTTTCCACCATCTCCATGTCTGTCTCTTCCCTATCCAGATAACACTGTATGAGTAGGTCTAACTAGATGAGTGTCTCTTGTTTCATATTTGTTCCTTTTGTTGCCTCTTTCAGTTATTATCATATGGGTCCCTACATCTATCCTTATCACATTATATCATGCTTCTTTTTTTTACTTGTCCTGCATAACATTGCATGACTGCTTTATGTGTGTAGAGAGCAGTATAGATATTGGTCTAAAAAGAATTAGAAGGAAATTTCTCCAGTTTCACTTTATTGAAGATTTCTCTACAAGAAAAAGCAACTGAAGGAGGAAATCTAATCTTGTCAACAGGGTAGCAAACAGAGATTATTTATTGTCCATACTTGCAAAGTGATGTCTTGTGAGGTGAAGAGGTTTTAGTAGTTGTATATTTTTTCAGTTGTAAAACTAGATGGATACCATCCCTGCATTTAGGTTCTCTACACTCAAAACATGAATTTTTTAAAAGTAGCTCCTAGCTTTTTAAGCAGTGATGACATTCAGGTGCTTCTGCTACTGAATGAGACTTGTGTATTAAAGAAGTCTCATATCCCATTATAAAGAAAAACCTATGTACTTCCTAGAGTTCTTAAGTGGATATGGTTTTCTTTTCCCATCCATTGCTTAAAATTCAGTACAAAATCTATATTTAAGACCATCCTTTGATTCTGCATGCAATACTTTTGCAGGGGGTTAAACAAGGCGATCAAGGGAATATGGAAGGGTTCATTCCACCACCTGTTTCTCCACTGCTCACTTTTTTTTTCTGAATGGTATATTCCTAGGCAAAATGTCTCTGAATGTTTTTAACTACCAAAAGTTATGGAGCTTGCATGAACACTGGGAGTTATATAATTTCTTCTATGTTCTTCTCAGAACTTTCTTGCTGCTCTATAGGCACTGGATGTTTGGAGACTTCACAATTCATTGTCTGTTGCATTGAGCTGTGCTCTTAAGTTTCTGCTTATGAATGCATTGTTTTTGTTCATGTTCTGCATCCAATTGAAGCACTTTCATTCCCTCTTCATTCTAAAGTGTAGCATTCTTACTAACTCAATGCTTGAATGCCTAACATTTGCAGCATCTAAAATAGAGATTGTGGAAGTAGAGATTGCTTCACTATGAGTCCTTGGCCATTCCCTGATGGGCATCTTGACTTACCATCTTGACTTGACTTTGCTAGCTATGTTCTCGTGCAATAAAGCAGAAAAAGTCGCCTGAGTCTGTGAGTATCTCTGAAGCTCTGGAAACATAATTATCAAAACTATATGATTATGATAAACTGCAAGGGGGGAAAATTACAAAAGCCTAAATGTTCTAATTCATAGAGGTTTGCTGATAGTAGTCATTGGATCCAAGAAAAATATATAGGATTGGCTGCCAATCGAGCTGCAACCAGATAAATAGCAACAGGTTACTGTCCAGGAAGCTCACTAAATTTCATGAAGTATTTGGCACATTTTATCATTATGTTACATGGCCTTGCAAAGTAATGACAACACATTCTCTCAACAGAATTAATAAAAGTGGGGGATTTGTTTGGTTTAAGTAAAATGTGCCTGCCTGGTTCTTGCACCCAACATTAATGTTCAGTTTCAGACCTACAGTCATCACAGGTAAATGCTGTTTCTGATACTTGGCTATGACCAGTGTGACTGCATTTAAATCCCATCTGCTGATGAAATTCCATGCTTTCATGGTTTTTCAAAGAATGGAGTAATAGCAATAGTATGAGAGATTTATGGCAAAAACCTGGTATGGCTGCTTACCAGGCTATTACATCGGGTACCATGCTTATTCAGCTTTTATTGATCCTCATGAATGGCCATGGAGAAGAGTGCATGGGTGTGAAACATGTTTTGATTTTTTCCAGTAAGCCTATTTTGAGTTTTTCTTGAGAAATGATTCAGAATGCTAGAACAGCCTCTGCAAAAATTCAGTCATGGCCATACCAGAAAAATAGTTTCCTCCTATTCTTTGATTTGATAATCAATGTTGATGACACCAACTAGCATCATTCATGGTCATTTACATTTCACTGTTTAATTTCCAAGATTGAGAAGCCTCTCCCATTGTTGCCCACACACTATTCTGCTTTGCAACTAATTTGACCTTTTATGCCCTCCATTCTTTTGCAAGTTGTACTAGTCCATGTCTGTAATAGCCATACTTAGGGGTGCATGCTTTACATTATCTGCATTATTTCAGTCTGGATTGATTTTCCATTTTGCGAAGAGACATGCATTTGTGAGCGAATAAACTTTCATAGCAGTCTAGATTCTTTGTTTTATCTTCACCAGTTCATGAGAATATGCATTTCCAAATGCGTGTGAATACATGCTCTGAATTCTGTTTTTACTCATGTGCAGAATTCAAAATACCGCCTCAAAATGCATTTGAATAATTCGTATTAACATTTGATACTTGTGCAGATACAAAATTGACACTTTATTTCAAATGCATTTGAAATCAGGATTTCACAGCAATATATTAATAATTTTGTCTACTTGTGAAAGAGCTGGGCTTCTCATACAGGATGGAGCAGAGTACCATTTCACTCCTTTATCTTGCAATATTTACTACTAGAAGGTGAATACAATCAAAGGGAAACCTTTTCCTCCGATTAAAGTACAGGGTGGTGCATGAAGAACTCCCAGGTTTAAAGTGGAAATAAATGACACGGGGCACGTGATTTCGCACCGATTGGTAATCCTACGATATCCTGGAAAAGTGGAGATTACGGGACGGTCACATACACAGGTCTTGGGGAATACGCCGGTGAGGTGTCCGCCATCACGCTCGACACATTCGCGCGCACGAGGCACTTCATTGTGCGTGACACGCTGAAAAATCGCGAGGGGCGCGACGGCCATTTCCTCCCGTATGCGAGTTTCCAAAGCCTCCAAGGTTGTAGGGCGTGGGTCGTGCACCTTGCTCTTTAGATACTCCCACAGAAAGAAATCTGGAGCTGTTTGGTGCCGGCGACCGCGATGGCCAATGAAGGTCCCCATATCTGGATGTCACTCGCCCAGGAAACGTTCTGCGGACATACGTCCTTATGTGGGATGTCTGGGCAGTCGCCCTACCCTGCTAGAACCACATTGCAGGACGGAGCCGAGTCGACGCATCTTCACATTCAAGAACGACTGTTGCATTTGGACGTAGCCGGCAGCGTTGACGGTGATCGTGGCGTCATCGTCGTCCTCGAAAGAGTACGGGCTGATCACTCCATACGCGCACATTGCATACCACACGGTCGATTTCTCGCTGTTTAACGTCCGCTCGTGGATTTTCTGCTGCACAACATAAGCATGAACATGAAAGGAAAAAGTGGGGGGGGGGGGGAACTTTGGGATACGGTTATCATGCATTTCTGGGTCGTTTCCTTCTTTTTGGCTTCTCTTGAAAAGTATGGGGGGGGGGCACGTGCCCCCGACGCTACGCCGCTGCTGCCCAATATCGGCAGTTTGGCTCGTTCGCCATGGAGACACCCAGACCGTGATGGTCCTTTGTGCGGGGACATCGCGCCGTTCAGGCCTGTCGAATGCTCACTGGATTGCCCTCAATGGGGCACTTGTTATCATTGAAGCATACTGTGACTCAGGTGTACCCGTCACTGAGCTGACATGGTCGAAACCACGAGGAAGGCAAAATGAGGGTATGATGGCTCGAGACAGCGACGTGTCCTCGTTTAGCCTGAGTCCATACCGGTGAAGTCAGACGAGGAGGGGAGAGGGAGGGGGGGAGGCCTCCGACTACGCGAGACTTTTCAAGGTCACGGGTGTGTAGTCCTCTCGATCCGCTTGTCGATGTGTGAACCTTCTCTCTGCCGGACTGGCTTCGTTGTGATCTCTGTGGCGATCGTCGCATCCATCGTCTGATACGCCGGGTCTATCGCCGAGTGTCCTCATGAAGGACTTTCGAGATCGGACCTGTCCGTCTTTCCGTTGTGCTCTGTGCCGAATCGGGAGATTCTCGGTCCCGAACAAATATGGCTTCCTCCACTCGCCTTTCTCCTTGGTGAAGGAAATCCGCTCAGTGCTTCAACGAGTTGCCGTTCCTTCATTTGTGCGGTCATCGTTCACGAGGCCACGATAACGAGTGATGGATGTGGCAGAAGATACGGATTCCCCTTTTCTCTCCACTTTCATCACCTAATCGACATTTAGCCGAAAATGGATTTCATCCCCGACGAACTTCATCCCAGATGGACATCATCCCAGA